AATAAATAATAGATACTTATTTGTATGAGTTACTAAAACTAAGACAGAACCATAGATCATTAACCTTTGTTTGTTATCCACAATTTCTAGTACTTGGTCATTATCTTGAGGTGCCTAAGAGAAAGCCCTCTGACTGTGGAAATACAGATATCAAATGCAGGAGTTCACTGAAATATATTACATACTAATTTGCTAATGTGTTCCAGATATGCATTTGGCACTTCCTACACTATAATGAAGATGAGTTAGCTTATACATTTTGCATATTTTGCTTAAAAGGATATCATTATAAGTTTCACAAAGCACACTAATACATTCTTAGCATCCACCTAAGTCTCATCATGAATTTTAGCTATTTATAATATATAGTAATACTGTGACTGAATTCAACAACTTACTTAAAGAAAATGGCATTGAAGAGAAAATTAACTGTATACAAGTCTGAAATTATAAGAACTTACTGTAAACCCAACACCTTTCATTCACTCGTTTGGTCCTTAAAACAACCATAAGACATGTCAACATCATCCCAATTTTATGTCCCTGCAAAAAAAAACAAAAAACAAACAAACAAAAAAACCCCTAAAACACAGAGAAGTTAATAACTATCAAGGTCACATAGCTGACAAATAGTAAACCCGAATACATTAGTTCATTTTCTCACTGCTGAAAAAGACATACCTGTGACTGGACAATTTACAGAAGAAAGAGGTTTATTGGACTTAGAGTTCCACGTGCCTGGGGAGGCCTCACAATCATGGCAGAAGGTAAAAGGCACGTCTCACATGGTGGCAGACAAGAGAAGAGAGCTTGTGCAGGAAAACTCCCCTTTTTGAAAGCATCAGATCTCATGGACTCATTCACTATGAGAATACAAGGGTAAGACCCACCCCCATAATTCAATCACCTCTCTCAAGGTTCCTCTCATGTGGGAGTTACAATTCAAGATGACATTTGAGTGGGGACACAGCCAAACCATGTCACTGAGCTTCTAACTCCATATCTGACTCTCTCTAAAATTTCCCAAGGTCATCCTTTATGGCATACTCGGAAAAAGTCAATGACTTCTCCCACCAAAACAAAGTAGAAACTAACATATCAAATGCCGATTTGATGCACTAATAAATAATGCATGGACATTCTATTATATTGTGTCCTTAGCTCCAAAATTCTACTGCACTGACATTCTGCTGTTTCCTACTCAGCCAGACTGTCAGCCTCATCCTACTTTCTTGATGTAACCCATTTGTTCTCAGCACAGTGGTTCATCATTTCAACACTGTCCTCACTAGCACTGAAGAGCGCCTTAACTCTTAAACTCCCATTGAGTCAATCGGCCAATTCATGGGTTAAATCCAGAGTTCATAGTCCTTGCTTGTGTCTGGAGAAGATCACACAGGGCTGCTTCATGGGTAGATGACCCAGGCAGTCACACAGGCTTCATGCTCAGAGGCCCCTATGCTTGGTTTCATGCTCTGCTGTCATTGTCTTGAATTTCTTAATAATTTTTGGGCAAGACACTCATTTTTGCTTTTCACTGGGACCTACAAATTATACTGTCAATTCTGAACTCATATAGACTTATTCTTATTTCGCTTCCTGCCTTCTTTTGATTTATCTTTACAATGGTTTATTTAATTGCATTAGGGATAAAATATAAAGGAAGAGAGGGGTGCTATGCAAGGGGGTACAAAACTAGTCAGACATCTTGAAAAAGTCAGATTTCCTCTGTGTTATGAAGAAAGAGCAGATACTAACTAGGCCAAGACCTGGGAGACATGTATTGCAGGCTAAGCCTTCTAGCGTAAAGCACAGGGTAGGCTGGCAGCACTAACAAAGGGCTTTTAACATAGTGACTGATGACCAGAACAAGCCAAGGTCACTAAGGAGGGAAGTCCAGATTATGGAGGGACTGCACAACAGTTTAGAATTTTGATCTTCATCCCCAAAAGCAGTGGGTGGCCATCACAGCATTTAAATCAAGATAGTGACAAGATACAATATAATATATCACACCAAGGTTATGATATCACACCAGGATCACACCAAGCCCTCACTTCTTTAAGCTTTGAGTGACCCACTCTTCTTTGGCATTGACCACATCTGCAGTCCCTTGTCTCACAGTTCTCTATCTCTGAGGATGTCATCTTTACACATCCAGCAGGTGACTTCACCTATCATTTCCGAAAAGGGTGAAGCTTCCCAGTTTTATTATGTCCATCTCTTCTCTCCTTCTCACCATGATACTCATAACTTTAAAGTGGCCTTGTTTTTACACAGGCTTACCTCCATCCCTCTTGTCTAGAAAGAGATATAACCTTTGTTTCTTCCCAGGCTAATATTTCCAACTATACCCTTAATACTGCCTTCATCCTTCCCCACTGTGCCTCACTCCCCACCCTCAAGATAATCAGATCTCCTTGTTCTTGCATCTGCAATCCCATACTATCCAACCACTCTCTTTTCTCAGCATACAGCTATAGCTCTATGCTTTCATGGAAAGTGAAAGAATATGCATCTCTTGAACTACCATCCCGTATTTCTCTTCCCTTACCAACCACTTTCCTAAAATACTAAAATGGCCACCTCTTCTATAACACTGTGGCTTGGATTTGTATCTTTCCTTTGTATATGGCATCCCAGGCTCTTATTTCCAAATATATACTTGTGTGATTGATTTCTTGGAACCAAGTAAAAGTATCTTAAGATGATATTTTAGCTTGAATTCATTGCCTCAGCTTGTCAAGATCTTTTGGGATTCTTAATCTGATAGCCCACCTATTTCCTTCTCCTTCTAGCAGTGTGTGGTCTGCAACTTTACAATGCATGCATGCCTTCTGTGTGATAATGACCTTGTGAGTGAATGAATGGACATGGGTAACAAGCACAATTTAACACTAGTTAAGGATATAGCCTATTCCATCCATAGAAAATGTGTTGTGGCTAGGAGCAGTGACTCACGCCTGTAATCTCAGCATTTTGTGAGGCCGAGGCAGGTGGCTTACCTGAGGTTGGGAGTTCAAGACCAGTCTGCCCAACATGGTGAAACACCATCTCTACTAAAAATACAAAAAAAAAAAAAAAA